GAGGTGATCAGAGAGCCAGCCACTGAGTTCATGTCAGAGACAGCCCCTATTCCCCTTACTAGGGAATCCACTTGGAGACTGAGCTGCCATGGGCTACATCTGTGCAGGGGTTCTAGGACCATGCACAGTGATAACCTGGCCTTACTGCTTGCTCATTGTCCTCTTCCTAACCTTATGTGATCAGCCAGCCGTCCTGCTCCTGATGATATGCCTTCCCACGCTACAGTACGTTTACTGCCTTAAGAGACAGTGGGACCCTGGGAGAGTGGAGCTCATAAATGAGATGGACTAAAGTCTCATGCAATAGCCAACTTTTTTCAGAGCGTAGAAACTTCATACAGTCACGGGGCCAGCTGCATGTGGCAGAAACTTGTTTCTCCATGGAGGAATATAAACAAATAACAATAGCCAGCTGTAAAGAATAATCTGAAGTAAACTCACTCCTGTCTGCTACATTATCCAGGAGGGGCATGAAGGCATAATCCAAGAACAATTCCATGTTTGTTTGTTTGTTTGTTTGTTTGTTTGCGTTTTAAGAAACTGAGGTCACAAGACTCTTGTGATTTCTTGAAGTTTTTCACAAACACTCAGAATTCTCCTCACACAACTCCATTCTGGGACCATGTTCCAAGAGTGGGAGAACGATGCCCTTGAACTATGGGCCGGAACAGAGCTTTCCTTCCTTAGGTTGCTTTGTCAGATATTTTATCTCAGCAACAAGGTGAGTAACTCATACAACCCCACTCTCACTGGAATGGGACCTGGACTGGGGTGCATTTTTCCAACACTTTTCTGGATGCCCAGTCTAAACCTATCAGAGGTCCACATGGCTCCTCCATGAGCAGAGAGTTAGGTGGTGGCAGTCAGAGGAGGGCCTCAGAGCATTACGGACCTGTCTACTGTCTACCTGCTTTTTATCTCAAGGGATTCTTTCCTCTAACTTGTGTTTCTCAGACTTCAGCCTTCCTGGTTCACACATCCATTTGAGAGACAGTCATTAACTGTTTACCACATATCAGGTGCCAGATTAATGGCAGCAAGCAAACCAAGTATTTTCCTTTAACCTTGGGCTCCACAGAAAGAAACTGTGAGCCTAGAGGCCTTTCTTTTTTTTTTTTCTTTTATTAATTACACTTTATTCATTTTGTATCTCCCCATAAGCCCCTCCCTCCTCCCCTCCCGATCCCACCCTCCCTCCCTTTTCTGCATGCATGCCCCTCCCCAAGTCCACTGATAGGGGAGGTCCTCCTCTCCTTTCTGATCTTAGTCTATCAGTTCTCATCAAAAGTGGCTGCATTGTCCTCTACCGTGGCCTGGTAAGGCTGCTCCCCCCTCAGGGGGAGGTGATCAAAGAGCAGGCCAATCAGATTAATTTATGAGTCGTTCATCTTTGGAGTGCCAATAGTGCCAGCCTCAGGGCATGCTGGGTAAATGTTTGATGAACTAACAAGTAAACGCAAAGGATATGGAAAACAGAAACACTTGAAAGACCCCTTATTTCAGTCAGGAGATTCTCAATTTAAAATTTGTTTCTAAACCAGGCACAGTGGCACACACCTGTAATCCCAGCACTCTGGGAGACAGAGGCAGGCAGGTCTCTATTAGTTACAAAGTGAGTCCCAAACAGCCAAGGTTACATACAGAAACCTTGTCTCAAAAACAAAACAAAACAAAACTAAACTAAACAAAACAACAACAAAAAAAACAAATAAATTGTTTCTAACATTTTGCTGTGTTTTACTTCCTGTGGTTGAGATCAAATCCAGGGCTTCAAGATGCCAGGCAAGGGATCTAGCATTGCATTCCACCTCGGGGCCCTCGCTTTATCCAAATTTTTATAAGATTAAAAACAGAAAATAATTGGCTCTTTGGCCTTATAACACTGTTGTCTGTAAGCACATTAACTTTATATCCTGTGACCACAGTATCTGACAGAAACAAATTGATGGACCAGGATTTATTCGGCCTCACAGTTTCAGAAGGCTCCAGTTTGTCACAGAGGGGAAGGCAGGTGAGGAAATCTCCATTCACGCTAGCAAGCCTGTGTGGAGGACACTGTTCACCTCAGAGAAACCAAGCAGCAGAAGGCAGGAAAGGGGAAGAGGTAACTACCAAGTGTCAGACCCTAGGCACCTGCTTTAGGCTCCACCCTAAAGGTTCCAGAGCCTCTAGCAAAGCACCACTGGATGGAGAATGAGCACTTTGGACACCGACTGTAAGGTGGGATTTTTAAATTGGGAAGACTTGGGAGATGGCTCAGCCAGGGAAAATGCTTGCTATATGAGCAAGAAGACCTGGATTTAAAAAAAAAAAAAAAAAAAAATCTGAGCATGGCTGATCCCAGCGCCAGAGATGTCGAGACAGGAGGATTTTTGGGGGCTTGATGGTCACCCAAGTAGCAGAATCAGTGAGCTCTCAGTTCAGTGAGAAAGCTTGTCTCAAGATCACAGAAGATCTTGCCCTTGACTTCTGACCTACACACACACACACACACACACACACACACACACACACGCTTTCTTTTGTCGATTTTGAAGTGGCAGGTGGTAGTAACTGCGCCCAACCTGGTGTTTTAGAGGATGTGCACACTGTGAACTGGTTAAAGGCAGCCGAACAAGGTGACACACTCCACACATGCCCCTCATGTGCGTCACGAGCACCTTCATCCACTCAGCACTCACTCAACACATTTAATCTTAATCACCATTGCTGTACAGCAGATGTCTTGAACTCATTCCCCCTAACACGTTGTAACGTCATATCTTTCAACCAACATTAGTTTTATGTCACAGAAATCTGGCTTGAGCAGAAAACAAACAAACAAGCAAACAAGCAAACCAACATTTATCTGCAACTACCTCATAAAACAGAGTTCAAACCTCAGAGCCCATGCTGTTTGTCTCTTCTTAGCTTCATTCATTTGACTGTTAAAATATTTTTATTTATTCAGTTGTTATTTTTGAAAGAGGGTCTTGCTACATAGGCCAGGCTGGCCTTGAACTTGCAATCTTTCTGCCTCAACTTCTTGATTGCATCACCATGCCCGACTTAGTGTCAGTCTTAGTCCAGTGTGACAGGAGTGGGGTGCTCATACCCCAGGTTTGTGCCCTCTGCTTTAGCAAGCTTAGTAATAGCTACATGTCACTCTCAGAGAAGTTTCCTCATGAACTCATCTTCCCATCTGTAAGCCACACTGGCTGGTGAAGAGGACACTGAGTGGCTGGCCTGGTCACATCCCTTCCTGACTGCAGCCCACAGGAAACTACTGCAGTTCTTCTCATCAGAGCGCTTATGTGGTGGCTAAAATGATCAACTCAATGGTTCTAGAATCACCTAGGAAAGAACCCATTTGGCATGCATTCGAGAGATTATCTAGATTCGGTTAACAGGGGTAGGAAGACCCACCTTAACTTTGGGTGGCACCATCCCAGGGACTAAACATGAAGGAGAAAGCAAGCAGGGCTCCAGCGTTTGTTCTGCTCTGAGTCTTGGCTTCCTCCTCAAGCTCCTGCCACCATGGCTTCCCCACCGTGGCTTCCCTGCCATGTCTGTACCCTGGAACCATGAGCCAAAACAAACCTTCTCTCCACTACGCTGCTTTGTCACAGCAGTGAGGAAAGTAGCCAACACCATGTGGAATTAACAAAGAACCCCAAAGAGCAAGAAGAACATAGGAGGTGTGCTACATTCCACGGTCTCATGGGAGGGCGAGCTACACCGCAGTCCCCTGGGCACTTCCTGCTTTCTGTTCCTTCATCCTTTCTTAGAGAGATTTGTCCTCACTTGACTCTTCAGGAAGTATGTCAAGGGCCACAGATCTAGGGAGAAGGAATGTCTTCAAGGCAGAAGCAGAGCTGTATGGCTTTTCCTGGAGAGACCGCTTCTGTCTACCATGGACCAGAAAGAACGGATTCCAAGTTCTGGTTGCTGAACCAATGAGTTTATTAAAGTTACATTCGCAACGGTCAGGAGCATGGATGATTCAAGCAGCTGTCTTACAGCCACTGGCGGTTCCTGTACAACTTGTTTGCGGCTCCACAGAGCACTCTCCTTTCCCCACAGTTGTTAACTGCATATATAACTCAAGAGTTTTGTAAGTACCCTCGTACCCTGACTCTTACAAGTTGCTTGTGCTTCGTGAGCCCCCTCCTCCTCTCAGGAAACAGTGCCTCAATCTGAAGGAAGCAGCTACACAACGGGGAGCCATGACCTTTTCTGTCCCTTTTACCAGGAAAGCAAAACCTTCTCCAGAGACAGCCAAGCAGGCTTCCCTTTTAAGTTATCACTGGCTCTCGTTCATACTGCAAGGGGTGTGTATGTGAAGAAATCTAGGTTCTGACAGAGTGGACAGGAAGGGCACAACCCGCTCAAGCCTGTGTTAGTTCCCCTATCTTCTGCGGCTCCATACTCCTGCACACACCCCTTGCAGGCCGGTTGCTCTGAACAGTACAGCACCCTGGTTCTTTGTTTCACAGCAATGGGCAGACTACAGGACGGTTGATCGTGGTTTCTAGCCCCCACCCCGTGCTAGGATTCCTAGTCACTCCTGTGGCTTCCAGAATGCTGGGATTACAGGTATGGCTCACCTCTGGGGGCTTTCCAAACCAGTCCTTTTATCTCTAGCATAGCTCAGGCATCATTCCCCCACTGGCCTGTGAGGGACCGAAATGCTCTATGCATTAAGCAGATCCTGTGCAGTAAGCAGCTTTCGGAGCCCTTTCCTGGATGGACAGCATGAGCTAGCCATTCTCCTCCCATCCAGAGTCAGCCTGAGTCTCCCTGTCCACCCCTCCTCACTCCTCACACCCCAGGCTGTCACTTGGCTTTCCTGAAAGCCTCCCCCTTGCCCATGCCCATGAAGCCCTCAGATTCTCTTTGGGTCCTTGGGCAGCAGCTAGCACTAGCCCTCACTCCTAGCCACCTCCCTGCTCTGAACCTTGAATTGATACAGTGGGTGTGACCCTCAGGAAATTGCTCATTATTTGCCATTAGTGCCTCTGAGTGAGTACCTTCCCATTACCCCGTATCTTTCCGTATGCATAGTCCTTCCTTCTCTCACTCCTCCCTCCCTCTTCCCTTCCTCCTTTCTTCCCTCTCTCCTGGGAACTGGTTCAACCAGAGTACAACCTGCTCATCTGCCTCTAGCAGAGCAGCTGCAGGAGCCGGGACCTGCAGAGCAGCTGAGCTGAAGCTAGGGAGGCCAGGCTGGCGCGCTGCGGGACACAGAGGGCGAGCAGTGGGCCGGGCCGCCTCCCTGAGGCCCATGAGAGGCCAACACAGCCTGGAGCTCGCTCATGAGGCCGCCGTGGTGCGGGAGAAGGACCCGCGGCATCCCACTGGGGCTGTTCACGCTCTGGGTGGCTACAGCCCGCTGTCTGCAGAGTAAGTACCTGACCGGCAGACCTCGCAGGTGGGAGCGACATGGCGAGTGGGAACAGTGTCGCCGGACCAGGCCACCCTTCCGACGCCGGCACGGTGCCGCTGCCGCGGGGATGCGGGCTAGGGTAACTTCACAGCCTCCACGCTGGCGGGGCGCGGCTGGAGAGTCCTTGGCCGAGCCAGCTCCTTAAGCGCCCTGGGCCGCCGCCGCCGCCGCCGCCGCTGCTGCTGTTTTAGGAGCAGGAAGCCGGCCTGGAGATAAGTCCCTGCCGGGCTGGCCTCCTGGGCAGCAATTTCTACTTTCTTTCTGGAAATGACAGGGCTCTGGTGGTAAAACACCCCCCCCCCCCGTGAGTTTTCTGGTTCCGATGGGCCTCTCTTAACAAGCAGCCGACTTGCAGGTAGCCTGGGGCTCACTCAGGAAAAGAGGTCCCGGGGTTCATTGGAGCATGAGACCAGAGAAGGTACCCAGTGAGCCAGCACTAAAAGCCATGGTGAGTCAGAATGTAGCGATTTTATTTTCTTGTTCAAGGACTGGACTAGCATTATTACCATTCCCACTCTACAGATCAGTCAGCGGAGGTTTAGAGAGGACCATCACAGGGAGACGGGAGTTGAGGGGGCTTTTGTTCATAGATTCTTGGGCTCTACAAGCTTCCTAACCGGTTAGTCTTCAGAACAGCCTTGTAAAACCAGAGAGCCCCTTTTCTCTGTGTTCTTCAAGTGCTGACACTGAGGCACAGGAAGGCCATGCTGCCTGGACAAGGTGACCGACTACCTACCCGGTGTGTTGTGAAGCCAGGGCTCGTACAGCCTCTAAGTCTTCCGCGAGAGTAGCATCGGCCTTTGCAAGACTCTGTGAGACTGGGATGGGGGTTGGTGGCAGCTGTTGCTTCCACAGCTGGAGAGCAGGGTGTAGGCGGTTGTTAGTCCAGCAGGTAGGAATCTTGGCAGTGACCTTTGCCATTGTTTTCCACGCCCCAAAACACTGGTTTCTAATCCCCATTCTTGCTCTTGGTACATATGCCTGTGATGTTAAGGAGGTAGTGTCCAGACCCTATCTTCTCCCTGCAGGAAGCAGGCCACAGTGCATACAGGGGTTGCTTTTGGAGGAGGTAGATGCTGGCTTCTGGAAACACTCAGACCTCAGATTTGAAAAACCAGAGCACTCCATCCAAAGGAAAGCGCTTACCTGGACCTAGCAGTTGGCTAGGAGCCACCATGACAGTGTGACAGAGGGAATACGGGATGTTCCAGGCATGTACGCCTGAAGAACAGGTGAAAGTTTGCATCACCTGGGGACTATCTCCTGCCTGGCTGTCGGCTTCAGGAAGGCCAGTCCTGTCCATTCTCATCAGTCCCTAGTGTTTGCCCCATGCTAACCAGGAGCCAGTCTTTTCAAATGATAAGTCCATGTGAACCTGCCTGGATGAGGCCTGTCCTGGAGGCCAACCCTAGCAGTGCAGTTAGGTAGGCCTGTCTGCTTCTCACCAGCTCCCAGCATCTTCTGCCTCCTCAGCTGCTGCTAAAAGCTTCAGTCCAGGGCTGAGATATAGCTCAATAGCAGAGCCCTTTTCTAGCGTGGACAAGATCCTGTAAGAAGAAAAAGAAAGAAAGAAAGAAAGAAAGAAAGAAAGAAAGAAAGAAAGAAAGAAAGAAAGAAAGACAAGAGAAAAAGAGAAAGAGAGAGAGGAAGGAAGGAAGGAGGAAGGGAGGGAGGGAGGGAGGGAGGAAGGAAGGAAGGAAGGAAGGAAGGAAGGAAGGAAGGAAGGAAAACAATGTAAAAGAAGAAAGTGACACTGAACTGCCATGCATGGTACTTGGTTCCATAGTAATGGGAACAGGGACTGCTTCTGACATGAACTGAGTGGCCTGCTCTTTGATCACCTCCCCCTGAAGGGGGAGCAGCCTTACCAGGCCACAGAGGAAGACAATGCAGCCACTCCTGATGAGACCTAACAGACTAGGATCAGAAGGAAGAAAAAGAAACCCTCCCCCACCAGTGGACTTGGGGAGGGGAGTGTGTGGAGAAGAAGAAGGAAGGGAGGGATTGGGAGGGGAGGAGGGAGGGAACTAGAGGGGGGATACAAAGTAAATAAAGTATAATTAAAAATAAAATAAAAAAAGAAGAAAGTGAGAGAAAAGCTTCATTCCAAAAAGCCTGTGTTAAAACATTCCCTCAAAGACAAAACTCCTGTATATGGAAGCCTTTTCTCTATAAATGTGGTGTTACATATACAGGCTAAATAGATGGCCCCAAATGCATGGGTTGAAACCTCTAGTGTGATATCGGAGGAAGGGCCCTTGAGGGAAAGGTAGAACCGCTGTGGTGAAATTAGCCCCCTTATCAAAGAGAGAGATCACAACTCTTCCTCTGCTGGTGAGAACACAGTGAGGAATTTAATTAGCCAAAAAGAAGGTACCCGCCAAACTAGAAATTGCCAGTGAGACAGCTCAGCAGATAAAGGCACTTTTCACCAGTCTTGGAGACCTGAGTTTGATCACTGGGACTCACAAGGTGAAAAGAGGGAACTGTGACTGCCACACAGACCCCAAGGCACACAGGCACCCATATAAATAATATGCACAAAGGTAAATAAATCGATGAAAAAGTGCTTTTCAAATAAATTAAAATAAAATAAAATATGACTGCATTAAATACCCAGTATCTTGCACTTCCTGCTCTCCAAAACTGAGGGGAAAATACACGCCTGTTGCTCCAGTCAGCCAGTCCACAGAACCTTAACAACAGCTCAAGCTAGAGAAATTGTATCGAGAAGTGGAGAGTTACTGAGACGAACATCTAAATATGTGAACGTCATTGTAGAACCGGGTTACTGGGTGGAGGCTGGAGAAGTTTAGAGGCATATTCTAGAATTGTGGTTTGGAAGGGAAGTTCAGGTGAGGAGCATTCTTGGACAACGGAGAGAGAATTCATGTAAAGCAGCAAAGATCCAAGCTGAGCCGGCTTTGTGTGTCAGCGTTTTGAGGAAGGTAGAAGTCACTGATGATGCAGTTGGTTATTCAGCTGAGGGCATTTTTAAGCAGGGTGTTGAAAAGGGGGCTTTTTATAGCAAACCCGGCCTCTTATAGCAAACCCAAGTGGGAATAATGAATTGAGCTGGGTGTGGTGGTGCATACCTTTGATCTCAGCACTGAGGAGTTCAGGGTCACCCTGGCCTATATTGAGAGTTCTAGGCCAAGTAGGACTACGTAGTGAAACCATGTCTCAAAAAAAAAAAAAAAAAAAAAAAGTTGGATAACTAAACAAACAAGTAAACAAACAAGCCAGATCCTAAAGATTTGGCTGTAATCTGCCTGTAGTGTAAAATAATAATAATAATAATAATAATAATAATAATAATAATAATAATAATGAAGGTATATTAGGAAGAGAACAGAAGGGTGTGGTGAGCACCCTTGATAAGTATGGGTGTGAACTGAGGCATTAATCAGCCACCCCAGCAGAAGCATTGCCAATCTGAACTGAAGGGGCCAGGACCAAATGAAGGAAGAAAGTGGATGGTTTACATCCTTCTTGACTGACTCCAGGAACTATGCAACTGTAGACATGTTCTTCCAATCAGGAAAGTAAGCAAGACTGACTAAGGTTATCAGGGCTGCCTTGGCACAAAAGAGAGAGGAGGGGGACATTGTTTCAGTGTCAACTGCTCAGACAGTGGACATAGGCCTCTTGGAAGGACATCAGGGGTCACGTTAGTGTGCCTGAAGGCAGAACAGCCAACCAAAGAATCTAGTCTTAGTAGTGTGTCTTACTAAGCTTGGAACCCACCACCCCTACCTTCCCTTCAGTTCTTTATAATAAAATGACAGTCTGTGCCCCATGCAGTGGTGGCCACATCACTGTGTTTTGGAATTTGTTGCTTCTGTGGTTCCCACTGCACAGCCAAAAAGAACCTCGCTTCAGGATGGTCCCTGGTGCCTCACCGCCTCTGCCTTGGAGGACTTTTAAGTAAGACTTCAAAGTTAACTTTAGAGTTGATTCCAGAATGAGTTCAGGCTTTCAACGCTACTGAGATAAAATAAATGTTTTGTTTTGTTTTGTTTTAATGTAGAATGGGTATGAGTTTGAGAGACCAGAAATGGAGGGTGCAGATTGAATGTGTCCTCACAAAAAAAAGATGAGAATCTGCCTTTTCTCTGTTATGTTGAGACAGCAAGATGATGATGGCCTGAAGGCCAGGACGAGGGTCCTCCCCTATAGATGCCCTGGACCTGGGTTTTCTCCTGGATAGTAGGACTGGGGGTAAAAGCATGGGCATAGCTTTAGGATGGGGATATACCATGAGACTTGCATTAGCAGCCAATCTCAGTGTGATGAGGACATCTTGGAGGGTGCTCACAGAAACCAAGGAATCTCTACTGCCACCAGGAGATGTACTCTCATGGGTCACAATCATATATGTGGCCCATAGTAACGTGGTTTATGCCTGTGTTTACATAGATAGCTAAAACAGGAGTAGGAAGATGGAGAATTGACAAGTTCAGAGTTTCAAAATGACTTTCTCATAACTGATTCCTTAGCCTGCTGGATATCAGTCAACTCTCTGGATTCAGGAGACACAGAGATGACAAAATAGACCAGAAAGGAAGCAACGAGACATTTGTTGTCCACATGTCCAGCCAGTTGAGAATGAATGCTCACTTTTCTGCCTGCTGAGGAATGCCACGGGGGTGGGGGTTGTAGCTCAAGCCTGCCCTGTGCTGAGCTAGAGAAGCTCTGCTGTGAAGAATCGCCAGAGAGGAGTTCCAGAGGTTCAGGGCCAGTCACAGCCTTGTAGGCCCTGAGTTCACAGGACAAGGGCAGTGAGGAAGGGAGCTCCATGCTTTCAAATAGTGCTGCACATTTGAACCTGCTTACACAGGCAGGTACAAAAGCAAACAAAAATAAACTCTGGGGGGTGGCTCAGGGGCAGAATGACTTTTGGTGACTCCTAAGAATACTAGCTGCTCTTCCAGAGGTTCAATTCCCAGCACTTACA